CCCCGGCGGTTGTTCCAGCCGCAGGCTTACTGTATATTCTCAAGGCATTTTCACAATAGGATTTTGACTCTCTTAATTTCCCTGTCCTGTAGTAAAGATCTGCGAGGCGAATGTACACTAATGCCACAGAACTGTGGCTTTCACCTTTGGTGGATTTGAACACTGTTAGAGCTTTCTGATAGGCAAAAACAGCCTCATCAAAACGGCATAGTGACAAGTAGATGTCCCCAATGCTAACATCAATAGCTGCAACCTCATTGTCTTGTGCATTGGCGATCATTGACATGCTAGCTAGGACAAGTTGCTCAAGTGCTGGTTCAAAATCTCCCTTGGCCTCGAATATAAGGGCCATTAGACGCCTGTCGGCTGCTTCGGTGAGGGAAGCAGGAGAGCAATGCTCCCTGTGAATTTCTAGGGTCTTTTTGCAGAATTTCTCTGCCTGATCGAATTGCATGGCTTGAACATGAGCTTCAGCTAGGTACCTGCCCTTCATGGAAAGCAATAATTTAGGAAAATTTTCAGCACCATCTTACATAAGTGTCTTGGACCTATTAACTAGACATGATATTGACAATATATAATCATAAAGAATAGCTAGTAAATTATAGAAAGAACATACTATTTCCAAGAGTTTCACCTGCAAACAGATAACTAGACTTTCACATCTGAAGAAAACACTATTTTAAACTTATAGAGACTCTTACAGGCTGTCTAATTTAAGGTGCTATCAACTGAGTGCCAAGTAAAATCATAAAAAAAATTGAGTTATTTACAGTAAAGTTCACTCTCTTAATTGAATTCATTATTCTCAGTAAAACAGTCCAATTTACTTCATCCCAACAGAGTCAGGAAAGTAGATTAAACAATTGCATTCAGACATTCTCCCTTATTATATACTTCCTCTGGTGATTTTAAACTTAGACCTATTCATTCAATTTATCAACTAGTTGCTCAGATGATGGCTGATAGTACATGTTCAAGGATGCAGCAGTTTTCTGCTGCTTCTTCAAGTACAAAAGAAAGGAGCTTTTTGTATATGCCGCAAAAAAAGAAAGAAAAAGAGAGAGAGAGAGAGAGAGAGAGAGAGAGAGAGAGAGCACTTTGTTATATGGTGAGGGGATAAGGGTCAAGTTGGTTTTCTTCACATTTTTTTATTTTAAAAACTGTTTTCTGAAATAATTCCACACCACTTGACATTTATCGAAAAATTATTAACTTTTAAGTTATTTCCAAAACAAAAAAACAAATATAACCGGAAGGCTAGGATATGTTTTTTCACTCTCTTTTATTTTGTGGTCCTAACTCAAAAGTGTAAGTCATCTGGAGCAGTGCTCCATATAGTAACTAGTAACTAGTAAGACATAAGTTTGGCTCAAGTGTCTATTTTCTTTTTAAAACTAATTTTTTAATAGAAAATCCAACACATTCTTAAATGTTCAACATGGACCATCACATTCATAGCTTACTTCCAAGATGCTTCAGCTTAGTTGAATGCTTTAGATCCTGAAACCGACATGCACAAATTCACAGTAGATTCCAAAGGCACTGTGTGGCCAATAACTAGATGTTTAACAAAACCGGGTCCAGCACATGAGTGATAGATATGTGATGCCCATAAGATAAAGGCTTTAAATCATTTATCCCTACCTAATAATTTCCGGTAGTTCTTCTTATAATCTAATTTAAACCAACTTATTTTAAAAATATATTGGTTTATTATTATATCAGAGAAAGCTTTAGAAAATAAATGATTATTTCTTTAAAAATAACTCATACCAAATATGCACTAATATAACCAATTTTTTTTCTTGTAGCCAAAAGAAAAGTTACCACTTCCTCGTGATCTAATGTCTCCGCCGACAATTTCTTTGTTCGTCCATGTTTATTTTCTCTCACACAAAGTCAATCACCATTTGTATCATTTTTTTTTTCATTCCTAAATATTAAAAGAGAGCATTATCTTATTATGGGGGCATTCGTACGGAAAATTATTTATGTAAAATGCATTTCCCTTGACATGCGATATTATTAATCATTATACATTGGTCAAGTACAAGCTGTTAGAATAACATGTGGGCCATAGTAAAAGCAATGAGATGATCATGGTGGATAATAAGGTATTAAGGTGAGACTTGAGAGTTTCTTTACCTACAAGTTTCAGCAACTCTCGGGTCGGATTCACCCAGAACGTCCATTTGGATCTTCAGACCCGACTCGTAACACGAAATGGACCTATCCAACTGTCCAATCATGGAACAAGTGTCTCCAAGTTGCATGTACCCGGAAAACTGGGCCATGGCCTGACCCGACCCGGTTTCGCCTTCCAAAAGCAAAATGGAGCGCTCCAGGGCCTCAACGGCCTCGTCCAACCGCCCCAAACTGCTGTGGATCGCAGCAACCACGTGGAGACACGTGGCGAGTTCCAGGCCCGGGCCCGCACACCGCTCGAACGACTTCGAGGCCCGAATGGCGAAGTCCAGGGCCCTTACCGGGCTTTCCCCCGACGCAATCGTTTCGCGGGCCATCTTGAGAAGAAACGGGCCCAGATCCGGGTTGTCCAGGGAGGACTCTTCTACAACTAGCGTCTTCTTCACGGTCCGCTTCGGCGGCGGCGGGTTCTTTCCGTCGCCGGCGAGGTGAACGCCGAAGGGCTGCATGGAGAAATATCGAATGCCCAGAATTCAAAATCGAAACTTTAGCCGCGAATTTGAATGGCGAGCGTTTAATTTGTGGGTTTGGGGTTCTGGGTGGGTGGTGGGGGGACGAAACGACGGAAGCTTCACCGTTTTGAATTAGGGGTTTGGAAGGAGAAAGGGGAATCGTTGGGGTTGTTATTTTGTTTGGGAAGCGATAAATAGAGAAAGGGGAAAAGGTGGGAATTGATTAGGGGTGGTAGTGGTGGAAGGTTGCTTGGAGGAAACGTATGATGAATGGGGAATTTGGATACTTTAATTTGAGTACAAGCTTGACGAGGAAGAAAGGGAAGAAGAGAGAGATAAAGTCCATGATTGCAGAGAGAGAGAGTGGTGGTGTTGTGTTGCAGAGAGGTTTATAATTCTGCTTTGCTTTGGTTATGACAGAGAATTGCCCAATGTCTTCTGTTACCAAACGTGGTAACCTAGTTTGCTCCTGACATTAGGGACATTGTTAGTTGCTACAACAAACTATAATGGCAATAAACAATAAATAAATTATTTTAAATATTTTCTAAACAAATGTTATTGGCATTTATCAACATTTTTTTTTAAATAAGTTAGTAAGTTAATGTTTTTATATTTTTTAAAAAGTTCATACTAACTTGTGACAAGTGAATATTTCGGTCAATGTCAAAAAAAAAAAAATATGCAGTTAATACTTAATAGTGTGATTTTATGATTTTATGATTTCAATATTAGCTTTTATAGTTATTAATTTACACGCATTTATTTATAAAAAAGAATGCATAAATAAGTTATGATTTTATGAATCGAAAAAATTATGATTTTGATATTATTTTAGAAAGTAAGTAAATGGAAATTAATAAATCTTAATCTTAATTTGAAAACATTTAAGTTTATGTCTTCTTTAGCTTTCTTTCTTATCGTTTCATCGCTGTTTGTGTCTCATACACTTTTTTCACAAAATATTATCTTTATTATTTCTTTGAGAAAATTTAGTGCATTGTCCTTACACATCGCATTTTCCGGACCAAAATTTTCAAAAGCTGAGAAATAAACTGCCCTGATCGGATTAATAAATAAGTGAGCTTTTTATTTTAATTATTGTATTTTATTTTCATTTTTAAAAATTAAAAAGATTAATTTTTCAGTATTATAAAGATCGTGAATTTTAATTTTGCTTATTATAAAACTGTGTTCATTAATCTTCACCCTCGAAAATATAAAATATGAATTTTGTGTTTCCAAACTTTTATTTTTGTTGAAAATTTTGTTTTCAATTTTTTTTTTGACGAATTTTACTCTCAAAAATTGCAAATTGTATGCTTCCATCAAACTAAACTTGCCAGAATTGTAAACAAATATTTAAAAGTTCAATCAAATTATGAAGGAAAATTGAACAAATTAACCTAATATTAGTACTAATTAATATATATATATATAAAGGTGCTTGACTTAAATGTAATATATAATGAACATGGAAATAGTCACAGTAATAGTAATATTTTTGATGATTATAATAATAACAGCTGATAATCGAGAATGAATTTATGATCAATAATAATTATAACAAAAGAATAATGAAGAAATAATTAAAGTAAATAACATTTTGAATTTTTTTTAAATCAATAACTTAAGTAAATATTTTATAAAATTAAGAAATAAAATGAAGAGATGGTTATATTCTCAAATATAAAAGTGAAGACTTACGTGAGTTATAGTGTAAGATAACAAAAATATCGTTAAATTATCAAAATGTTAACCATGATATTTAGAGGTAGTGAGAATATGAATGTTTGGTACTGAAGTTTGCTTTTGAAAATTGTGATCATTAGGATTTACAAAATTGTTATAATAATTGGACTTGGGACAAACATTAGAGAAAACAGAAATAATTCATGATTAAGTAAAGTCATCAATACAGAAAACTATGATATCATTTTGTTGTACGTATGGGGAGTTTTAGTTGTTGAGGACTTTGATTATAAAGCAAGTTTAATTATTTAAGATATATGTTGTATTTATTACTTGTCATTTTGACCATATAGTCTTAACTCTTAACATGTAATCTAACATGGAAAGCCAAGATTTTGAAAGAATTCGAGTTCTCCTATCGCTGCAAATTTCTTATGGTCTACGTTTCTTCTAATGTCTGAGTTAAAATTCTGAAAGCTTCAACATTCAGAGGAAGGCCCACTCACTATATAGGACTTTTAGGCCCACTATTGGCCTTTTGGTGCTGTGCGTTTGTTGGAAGAAAAATAAAATACAGAATGAAAAAAGAGAGATTATTTTAAACTGTCCTTTTAATTTAGAAGAAAAAGAGAATTTAAATGTTTTCCATCTCTTACTATTGTGGGCTCTTTAGTATAATGAAAATTTTAAAACTGAATGTAATTTGTGTAATTAAATCATTCTAAAATTTCATTTCACCTTCCATCTCTTTTAGTAATATTAATAAGCTGAATATACTTTTAAATTTTTTATAATTTCACTTATTTTATCATTTAATTTTTATAATTAAAAATATATAATTTTGATTTTTTATATTTGCTTCTTTTTTTTATATTTTTTTAGTTCTTATAATTTAAAATATATCTTTTAATTCATATTTTTTAAAAATTAAAATTATTTTAATTTTTGTCATTAATTTTTTATAACGTTATTTCTTTTGTGTTGATATGATAAAGGTATTCAACTTTGTATTTCTGATGTCAAATTTATTTTGTTAAAATTATCCTAAATTAATTTTTTCGATGTTTTATATCTTTTTTTTACCTATACATATAATATATATTATTAATACATTTTTTTTATAATATTTAAAATTAAAGATCTCTATCATATTAATACGAATGAGATAAAACTAAAAAGGATTTAAAAAGTATAGGACTAAAAAGTAATTTTAAACTATATGAATTAAAAAAAGATTAATAAAAAAATAACTAAAAAACATTAATACACTGTAATTAAACTCAACTACTGGACATTTAAAAAAATATTTAGACTTTTCTATTTTTGCATTTGTCACTATGTAACTAAAGAACACTATCATATATATTTTTTTCTTCAATTTTCTATATATAGAAAAAATAACATGAAACTGTATTGCACTAGTTATCAAAAGAGCATTATATTAGGTAGCCTTAATCGATTAACAAGAGAGTATTAATCGAACAACCATAGTCACTAGCCCGTATAATTTATTATTTAGTTATTTTTTGAAAGTGGCATTTAAACCCAGTTGCCCACTTGAAAATGATATATAATATTCCCTCGTTCAACCAACCCTTTTAATATCTTAAAAAGTAAAAAAGATTTTACCAACTTTATGAAAATCACAGCCAAATTTATTCTAGACCAAAGTCTTTCATATTGAAGCAAATTTCAAATGATTTTGGTGTAATTTATTGAAAGATTCAGGCGTTTGTTTATCGTGGGTAGAATAAATGAGAATTTAGAGTTCAACCAATGAGAAAACAGAGCACGTATGGCATGAGGTTATTATAAATTTCAACAATCGTGTATAAATAAAACAATCATAAGATTATAAATTAATTAAATGAGACATAAAACCCAAAAACCTAATTTACACGGACATTAATAAAAGAAGTTGATATTATAACATTACATTTCTCATATTTTTTTCATTACTTACTATTTTTTCTTCAAATTGATATTTCTCTTTCTTTTGGCTAATTATGATGTATGTCTTATACAATTTGTCTCTCTTAATTAATATTGCACTAACTCCTAACCAATTATAGTATATATATCTTTAAAAAATTATAATTAATGTATTTTATTAAATTAAGAAACATATTTGAATTAGGACTTTAACGTAGTAAGTTATTGTTTAAAGTTTAGTTAACGCTAGAGAGAAGGGTATATAAGACTTTCTTTGAGAATGAAACCTCAAAAACTCATTCTCAAAGGAATTCTAGAGAGAAGTTTTAGAGAGAAGGACTATGGGTCCGTGAACTCCTTTCTCTCCTAAATTTCTCTATTTGATTCTTCTTTTTCTCTAGATCACTAATCTCTTTTTTCTCTTCTTTGAATTCAGGATACAAAGCTTGATTTTGGTAGATTGAAGTCTGTGGGTCGACCATTCGATATTTTTTTTTCTTCTTCTTCCTCTTCTTGACTGTTTTGAGCCAATTTTCAAGTGAAAGAATGACAACAAATCATGAAATATTTTTTCATAAAATTCACAGGGAAATTGAAAATGCTTGGGGTGGAAATGAAGGAATGTCTACAGTACCTGGATTGAATCAGATACAATTTGAAGGGTTTTGTAGGTTCATTGATTAGGGCTTAATAGAAGGGCTTTTAAAGTTTCCAAAGCTAGAACATAGGTTGTTTGGTTGCATGTGAGTTAGAACTCAATTGGTGCCTGATTTTAGGGAATCAATGGCTGAATCAAGGATTTTCTCAACTTCGGGTCTCGGGTCAATTTTGGAAATTTGATGATTTTGATGTACGAGGTGTGTGCATGTAGGATCTGAGTGTGTTTATAGATTGTATGATTATTGGATATCATGTTGTATGGTTTGCATGTTGTGCAAATTCTTCAAATTTTTAGGTTTTGGATGGAATTTTCTAGGTTTTGGGGGTTGCTGTTTGAATTTGCGCCAGACATGCATTCATTAGAGGCAGCCATTTTCTAATCATGCCAGGTGCAAAGTTAGTCGTGCCAGATGCGACTTGAGATGGGAGCCTCTAGGTGAGTCACACCAGGCGTGAGAAGAGCTACGTCGGGCGCGATATCAGATAGTGGCTTTGTATTATTTTACTGATATGGTGTTGGGCGTAGGGTTCGGTGCGCCGAGCGTGGAAGCCCTAGAAGTCTTTAGCTTCATGAGGCCGAGCGCAATGTATATTATGTTAGGCGTGATTCTCGGGGGGGGGGGGGG